TACACTGGAGGATGTGTCCTGTGTCCTACAGTGAGGGATGTGTCCTGTGTCCTACACTGGAGGATGTGTCCTGTGTCCTACAGTGAGGTATGTGTTTTGGGACCTCTTTAAAACAAGAACACAATAATCTGATCAGAACGTCTTGTTTGTCTTTAAACATATCTTGTTCTCAGCTGTTCCTTTGACTCTCTGTCTCTCAGCTCTGCAGAGAGCTAAAAGCTCAGCTCTGGCTGTTCTGTTGTTCCTGGCTGAAGGAAATAAAAGCTTCAGCRGGGGGAGTCTCTTGACTCCTTCCATGGTTTGATGATAATTGGATAGCAACAGCTGAATGTGTGACGTGTCGGAGGAGCCATCGCCCCCTCGTCTTTAAAGTGCAGGTCGTTATACCTACTTCAGCTCGCCATGGTTACCTGCAGAGCGGAGAGGAAGCTGTGCTTTGAGTGTGTGACTGGTGTCTGATTGGTCCTCTCACATTTTCACAGCAGAGTTAAATACGACTGATATTAGCAACATGAGGACCAACGGGGTCTTCACCTGCAGATCAACCAGGACTTTTTATTTCTTACCTGACTCACTTCTTTCAACACCTGTGTGCTGTTTTCATGAACTTTGAGTTCGGCACGGTGGTGGGAGCATCATMGTGTGGTTCTAGAATAATGAATATGGAGGAGGACTACCTCCAAATTCTACTTCAATCTGAGTTTTAGTCATTTCAGACAACACAACCAYGCCTTGACCCTAACCCTTCCAGCTCACCTTCATAACATCAATATGAATAGAGTCCATGACTGAGCTTCATCTCATCGTCTTCTTTGAGCTCTCCTAACTAAAGATCATTGGTATAAACTGTGAGAAGAACCTTACCTTGTGCTGCAACACTCCAATAAGAGTCTGAGTTGTGATGGTGAGACTTTCCAAAACAGGATGTGTTGTTTGATCAGGAAACTGACTGTGAAAGCCAGAAGCTCCACCTGCTGCAGGTGAGCCATGAACAAATGTTTGCTCTCACTTTGCCTCTCCTCTGACCTGCTGCTGTGGAGGAAGTCAGCAGAGGATGTGCAAAATGTCTTATTTTACTTCACTTTGGTTGGATTTAAGTGCCAGTTGGCTTTAGTCTCAAAACTTTAAAGATTTCAGTTTTAAAGTAAAGCTCCCAGGTCAAATATCGAGACAGATTTCTGTGATGCTGGCACATGGTTTTGTAGTAAACGCCGAGTTTTATTCAACCTTAGTTAATCTTTGTGCTGGGTGTATGTACTGTTTACCAAGMGGGCAGAAAGAAAAGTTGAACTGGATGACTTAAACAGAGAGTTGAAATCTAGCCAGCTGTAAACTTCTGAACAAAATTTTCTGCCTTTTTTAATTCACTTTTTTTTATTTCACTTTACTCGCACAACACTCTCTCATGAACTCAACACCCACGAAAGTTACTGCAAAAACACAAAGTCACCCACGTTCCTTCTCTGGTTTTTAACAGGGTCTTAATACACAAAGAAAGCTCTGAGGGGACTCAAAGTTTTCAATCAGCCAGCTTTAATTTTCAACCAACAACCACAAAAGTCACACGAAGAATTGAAAACACTTCTACTGTGGTTCAGTTATCACTTGATGCACACCTCGACACAAGGGTTAAAGTTGTGTCTGTACCCTGAAATAAGGATCAGAGTTCTGTACAAACCTCAATACGAGGATCAGGGTTGATTTGATTTGATTTGATTTATTGATTTAACAGGAAAAGATTATAATCAAGCCTGACTCAGCATAATTGCTGTTTTACAGCAGGTTCCTGCTCTGCAGCAAATAAAACACTCAGAA